TAAGAGAAGAACCTGCATTGTTATCATCATGATTATCTAAAGTAGGTTTAATACATTCATTAAATATATTATGATTATTATTATTATCGTTGTTATTTTTGTTGTAATGGTTAAAACAATTTATAGAAGTATTTGAGGTAAGTGAACTGGTATTACTGGAAGGATTAATTTGTGAATTGTTGGATGATCTAAATACTGACGATTCTGATATAATTGATGCTAAGGTAGTTGTTGACTCAATAGATGCACGTCTTGAACCGTTGTAAGAACTATTTCCATTTTGATCATACGGCCCTTTATTAAAAATTTTATGTGTTATTTAGCTAGAAGAATGATTAATGGTATCAACAGGATAAATAGGTAAAAATTTACATGATCGAGGAATATCTTCATGTTTTAAATAATCGTCGTTATCACAATTATGACTTGGATCAGAAGAAGGTGGTGTTGGTGGGGAGGATTGCTGCTGTTGTTTTTGATTATGTTTTTGGTCATACAGTTGTTTGGGATGCTTTTGTTGTTGCTGCCTTTTTTTAATTTCATTTTTAGGTTTTTGTTCTTTACGACACAAAGTATCGCTAAATTGTTCGTTACTTTCTTCCTCTATTTTAATTGGTGTTTCGTCCTGGTTTAATCTTGGAGATCTTCTTCTTGACATATCTCTTAAATATTAAATAAATAAAAGAAAATACAAATAGTGAGCTTGTTTTAAAATTAAAATAAACCGTAAAGCAAGCTTTACACTTGTTGGTGGCGTATTGTTAGAGTTTATTCTTATTATTGATATATTTATACAATAATACCTTTTTTTTTTAATTAGACAGAACTTTAAGACTTTTTTTTTTTTGATATTTCTCCCAAATCCTTCACGTGATTAATCTAAAAATGGATAAAACCGACAAACATCATATTGTCGCACTTAATATGGGGCATGCTGCAACAAAACCAGAAAAAGTGAACATTGGTATTACCAAAGGTTACAGTGATCAAAATTTAGTCATTTGTAATGTGATCATAATCAACAGCTTTATAATATCCCATTTATTTTAAGTGATATATAGTACTACTCCTATATAAAAATAGTTAATATGAAACATATGAAACTCATTTACATCAGATCTACTATGGAATCCAAGAATTATAGCACTATCAAAAGCATTTTAAAAAAAGAACAAGGTGAAAAAATTTCTCCTTATGTTTTCAAAATGAATGGTGTTCAGACACTGGAAGCTTATCTAAGAAAAGAAAGTATTACCTATGAAATTTACCAAGAAGAAAGAAAAATAATAAGTGTTAGAAAAAGAAAACATCATGATGATGCATTATTACCTAATAAAAAGCAAAAATCTTTAAAAGGAAAATAACTACCATTTTCTTTGATAGTTAGAATGAATTTCAATTTATATAGAATATTCTTTAAACTACTTTCTCATTTTCAATCAAGATCATCTTTTAGTCTCTTTAACTTCAATTTGAACAATTTGACCATTCTGCTGATCTTTTAATTTCCTGTTTTCCTCTTCTAGTTGTTTAATTCTTTATCTAATAATTCCTGTTTTTGCTTTTTACTTCACTCTTCAGATTTTTCCTGAAACTTGGCTATTTCCTCTCTTTCAATTGTTAATGCTTCTTCAGCAGTGGCTAATTCTTCTTGTAATCCATTTATTTGTCTTTCATAAAAATCAGACTGACTTATTTCCTCACTAGGCAAAAGAGGGAGTTCCTTTTCTTCCATGTCTTCTTCATATCTAATACAAAAACAAACATATTTATCACCACAAACATCGAATTTCTCCTTACAACTTTCACACACTACATCATATGCAACATATTTACCATTTACCTTAACATGAGCTACTATTTGTTTAACAGATTTATTATCCTCTCCATAACAATTAAAACAAAAATCACATGTTTTCCAACTTGACCTTTCTAAATCTAAAGTGTGTAAGTTAGTTCTCTCATTAATTATCTACTTACCTCTATTCTAGCAACTAACTCTTGGATTTGGTGTTTTTTGTTTTCCACCAGTTGATGGAATTCAGTTTTTAATTTTGTTCTTAATTGTCTAAATTTGCTTTGCTTTTTGGGTAAAGCAGGTAAATCCTTTTCAGCTAAATGCAATTGATTTTGCAATCCTTTGTTTTCTTCTGTGAGATTTTTGTTTCGTGATTCTTTTTCTGAAATTATCTTATTAGACACCTCTACTTTTTCCCTTTCTTGTTTTAGTTCTCATTCTAATTCACCAATTCTTGCATCTTTATTCTCAATTATCTTACTAGAAATTTCTAACTTTTGGTTTTTCTCTGCTATCTCCTTTGCTGATGCTTCTTTCTGAGTTCATCTTTCTTTCCCTCCTGTTTCTAAAGCCTCTAAATGAATTTCATTATCTATTTCAGCCTTCTCTGCTCTTGTTTTTCATTTTTCAACAAGGAGTTTATTCCTTTCTAACTCTTCTTTTAACTTGGCATTCCCTTTTTCTAACTCAGCAATCTTTTCTTCAAGTTCTTTATTTTTTTTGTAAATAAAATCAAAAGAATTTGAACTATTTCAGTTTCATTCACTAAAGCCTTAACCACATTTTCAAGAGTGAAATTGTTGCCAAAAATAACTTTCTCAACTCCATTTTCTTTTTGAATCCTTACTCAATCATCCTTAGGTCAAAAATGTTGTTCTAAGGTCATTAAAGTTCCAGCAATTTCTGGACTTTCATTTTCCTTAACATTGCAAATAGCATTTCAAATTCTTAGTTTAAAATCATCTTTGTTTTCTAATTGCTTTTTTAGTGTTTCTATTTCATTTAAAAGTTCTTTATTTTCATTTTGTTGTTCATTTATGATGCTTGTCATGATTTTCTTCATCAGGAAATTAATTTAGCATAAATTTGCATAAATCTTACAGTGTCAATGTAAGTTTTACACTTTTTTATTATTAAACTTATGATTGACATGTGCAAATTTTTTTTATATTTTCCGGATGTTGTTTGTTCCTTTTTTTATTTATTCTTTTTAATATACTATACTTATATCCTTTTTATGATGATATATTAAGTATATAAACTTTATTTTAGTACTTTTTTACTTTAAAGGTGGAAAAAGCTAAACTTATTAAACTTAATGACAGTAGGGGGACAAATTAACAAGTATGATAAAGTAATGAAGGCGTTCTAAATATTTTATTTGTTGCCAGTATAGAATGGTTTTGGGCATGTAATATCTTTGAATTCATCTCTGACAAAAGGGCAAATATTCTGATAAAGATATTCTTGCCTTTTGTAACCCAAAGGAGGTGGTGTTAACACTAAAATAGATAAAGCTCTAATTTCTTCAAAGATATCTGCTTTCTTGGTTTTCAATAAATTGAACTCAACAAAAGGTCCATTAGAAACTTCTTGAACTTTCACTATACCAAGATTAGATGCTTCAAAAAGAAAATTTTGATATTTCTGTATACTTGGTAATTTCTTAAAATAAATTCCCAAAATTGCTTTAATATCTAAGTATTAAAAACCCTTTTCATCTTCATAACACTGTGCTTTATTCAATCCTGCTGGACTAGATCTTTTCACCACATCAACCACATGACCCGGACAATCTACCCTTGTTTTCCTATAGAGTTTTTTTATTAAACCAAAACTACCATCACATTTGAATTTGGTGCACCCAGGAACCATGAAATTTAATTCAATACTTTCACAATAACCACAAATTACTAAATACAAGTAAAACCAAATTATTACATTAATTAAACAGGTTGTGTATCTGTTGTTCAAATGACATACGTGTCTATTTGACAATTTTGAAATTTTCTTCGCAAGCTTGTGAAATGTAATGTCTGTTACAAAAAGGATCTTTAATAAGAAGTTTTTATTCCAAAAAAAAGCATTTTTATATGTTAATGTAGCAATTTGATTTTTGAAAATCAGATGCTAACCAGTTAATTTCAATGCAAGAAAGGGAAAGTATACTACAAACAAAATTTTCACGTCCTCAATTATGGGTTATGAGAGTGTCACTGAACTATTTAGAACTGATATACTGTCTAGTGGTTAAGTAGAAAATGGTAGATTATAGCGCCATAACATGGGGGTAATTAGGCAGACTTTATGTGTACAAGATACATTTTATTCGTTAGATATTAATGTTATTACAAGATTAAGATGATAGATGATGATATTGAGAAGATTATGAGAAGATGACGTCGAGGAAAAGATACAAACGTGATCTCTTTATATCTTTCGTCCAGTTGCATTTTTTTATTACTAATCAGCGAATTAACATGACAACAAGACGTAATACTGTATATATCAAATAATTTATTAGAATGAAACATGTTTGATAAAATATGGGTTCAGCTGCCAGACTTTTCATTGATCTCATACGGGTCCTGTGCTCTTTTGTTCTTTTGTTCTTTTGTTCTTTTGTTCTTTTGTTCTTTTGTTCTTTTGTTCTTTTTTACTTTTCTTTGTTTAGGAGTTACCGTGATTTACGAGAATGTGGCCACGGTGTTTGTTCACATTATTTTTATTGATATTGTAAGAGTTTCCTTACTAAAATCGTTAAAATGCAATTTTCAAAGTTTAATTCACTTCTCACGAATATTTATCACTTAGATAATATTCCAATGTATTTGCCAGAGAAAAATAACTTAATTCATTTATTGATCTTTTTGTTCGTATATTTATATAAAATTACAATGAATAAATAATAATAAAATACATGTTATGCGAATAGAGCATATGTTTCACAGCTTAGAAAGAACGTAAAAAGGAAACATAATTAATTAAAAATAAGAGTTAATGTTCTCCAGCATTATCTATATCCACTAACTAATGAATAAATGTGTAACTAATTAATTAATCGTAAACTCTCTTTAACGTGCGTTACTTTGTACGTTGCGTTTACCAACATTTTTCTACGTTACACGTGTCTCACAATAATAATAAATAATAAAATAACGAATAATAATAAAACGAAAAAAATTAATTTAATTATATATCTCTATGTATTAAAAAGCTCATCAAGCTCATCAATTGGCACAGAATTAAACAAAATTGAAGATGTACAGTAAATCATCCCACACACAGTGGCAAATATTCCACAAAAACTCAAATTCCATTCAGAATCATCCCTCTTTTGACCTGGAATGACATCAAATCCCCAACCATACCATGACCACCAAGCGTATGTTCCATCTGAATTGTTGTACCCGAATCCAAATCCTGGCCAAATAAGAAGAAGTGAAGAAAGAAGAACTGCATCGCGCAACTTCCACAAGAGCATTGCATGTGTGTGGTTTTCTGCAGCTGCAATAATTTGGTTTCGAAAATTAGACCCAAGCAAAATGTAAAGAAATACAATAATGGGTGAGTTGAGATACAAAGCTATTGTTCGTGTAGAGAAAGGCCCATAGTAGGAAATCAACAAAGCCAAAGAACCGATAATATCAAAATAAAAATAAATGACCAATCCAAACACCATCAGAATCTTGGGTGAAACAACAACGAAGGCTGTAGAATTTGGTGGTGACATGAAAACCATTGACAAGAAAGCTCGCAAACCTATTGCCCAAATAGAAAGTTTGATTATAGTATAGATGAAAATCCCAAAAGTTGGACGAACATGGAAGAAAGTAAAATTTTGAGTTGAGCGAGCATAACCTTTGCCTCTTGCCCGAACTGACAAACTAATACATATATACCATAATCCTGAAACTATTTTCCACATCAAGTAAAAACTAATCAGAATGACTAACACAGAATTTTGTTGGAGAAGGACAACATCCTGATGATTTCCATAGCCGAATGCTCTCATTACAATCAATGCCACCAAAATTGGCAAATCAACACTTACAAAGTCCAATGACCAACCAGACCAGAAAGTAACACCGCTGGTAGCTGTTATGACAACAAACCGTCGAAATGATGATGAGAGGATGCAAAGAAGAGGAAGGATCGGACTATTCAGAGTAAAAGAAAACACTAGAGGTGATGTCAATGGTTTTCGAAAACGTGGTGTCCAAAATGGTGAAGCACAGATCAATAACTTGGCAGTGATGACCAGCAATGGGATGATGAAAATGAAGACACTATTGAATCCTTGAATTACAAGAGTAATCATAAATATTATAGGAAGAAAACTAAACACACTATCTATTGTTGCAAAAGTAATTGGTAAATGCCATCTTTGTTCTGGATGTTTCTGACAGTATGATGAAATTTCCTCATTAAGTTTTTGGGTCTGATTTGGAATTATGGTCATGAGAGCAACATATATACGGAAAAGAGAAAAACACAATCCAGCACAACTTCCCACGAGAGACAGGATGGTTAGAGGGGGGATAATACTATTAGCTACATTGCTTTGAAATACAAGACTCTGAACTGTTAACACCAGCATGGGCAATGAGTGCAGAAAAGTATCACCAAGAAGTTGAAGACTATTTGTTTCTTCTAGTTCCATAGCTTCTCGGATACACCGATATACTCTCCTATCTTTAGCTATGAGAAGGATTAAAAAGGGAGAATTGTTGGCAAAATTTAGAATACCAGGTTGTTTGAGTCTATATAAAAAAGCAGGTGATATAATTAGGATTGGAATCTTGAGCAGTTCCAGTACTCCAATACAAATAATTGCTGCTTTAGCAAGGTTCTGAGCCCACTTGTAAGAAAGAGTAGAATTATCTTTATATTGACAAATATACATTTGAAGATTTGGAGAAATAGAAGTGGCAAGCGAATCAAAAGTTTTAACAGGACCAAAATCAAGTGATGTAAAAGGGAAATTAATTGTCTTATCTAAGAAGCAATCTGATATAAAATCTTTACACACTAGTTCTGGACTTTTGTCTCCCTGGCTAATAATGAGATAACTATAATCATAAACAGCAGAAACAAGAGTGACTAAAGGAAAAGAAGTATTTCTCCTAGTAGCAGTGCCTACCACACCAGCATAAGAGCCATTTTTTTGAAAAAATCCAGTATATGATCCATAATTAATTTTCAGATGGTTCATAAAATAAACAGATGTATTCATGTCCGGTGGATTGGTTATGCCAGTTCCTAAATCCGAAGCGTTCCAGTGTGCAATATTTGACTCATACCAAGGTAATAGTTCATTTTTTAATGTTGTACATGGTGTATTATTACTCCTTAATAATGACGAAAGAAAAAAAAGGTCTGTAAAAAGAGAGTAAGTGGCCATTAAAAGACCAATAGAATGAAAGACAAGTTTGGATCTGCTGTCTCTGAAAAGTTCTCTGATTCTCATGATTTGGTTTCTTAAAATTTCCTTACAGTTAGTAGAGAGAATCAGTTGATATGGTGTTTAGACAAAGAAGTTGAACGGCGAGACAATGGAAATCTATTATTTGGAGTGATGAGTTTAATACTTTTCCAAATTAGACATCTATTGAAATATTAACATGTGAGAAAACCTGCTTTGAGGTTCTAAATAATTTTTTTTTTCCTAAAGAACTGTGAAACATGGTTTCTCATGCCAAAAATGCTTTTTTTTTATGAACCATAAACGTTTTTTTATTTTCTACAATAAAACCAAAAAAAGAGAATCTATGTGTCTGAACTCTTATTATTATCTGGTTTAGGTAATAATAAGATTCAATTTTTAATTATATAATAGCACACAACAGTTGTCTTAATAAAATTGTATATATGTTATTCTCGTGTACAAACAACACTGTTTGTTTATCCCTTAAAAAAATGAATGAGAAAGAATTTTGTTGTTAGTGTTATTTATTAGTATATACATAAAAGAAGAAAAGGTTGCCGTGTTACATTCTAAATGTAATTTCTGTGTAGATTTTTATATTGGAATATCCTGTATATATATTTTTTAATCAAATTGGGAAACATTATGTTATAAAGAAGACTCGTTAAAAAATATTTTTGTTTTCCAAAAATGACAAAGGGTTGTGGTTATTTTTACATCGCCGTATCATGCGAATTCTCATTTATATTTATTTGGAAAAATTTATCTGTTTTTGTTCAAAACGTCAGGATTGAGCGAAGCAGATACTTGATTGAAAGGAAATCGTGTATGTCTTTGCGTGGTATCTATCGCTGTCTACCATTAGGTATTCGTCTTTCTCTGACGCTTCGGATTGTTTGAAATGACCAAGAACTTATGGCCTTGCCTTGGAGCCTTTACCTCAGATCCCATATCGTCAAAGACTTGCTACACAACGTTAGTCTTCGTATATTTTTCGGGACACGAGACCGGGATTCAAAAACACCTTTTTACATTTTATTTTGTTATTTCAATGATCGATAAATCAAACAATATGTTACGATTTTTTTTTTGATTTTGACCATTTGAGAAATAGTGGATGATCTGGATAGGAAAAATTTCCTTTCGGGGAAAACAAATAAATTGCATTTTTTTTTAATTAGCTTAGTTTATTTTTCTTAACAATCGAAATTTGTAAATGTTTGCATGAATTCTACTCTTCTATATAGTAATAGACTTGAAAAAAAAAAATCCAATCGATACAATTGACCTTTAAACTGTGATAAAATAAATAAACACGAGGAAAAAATCAGGACAAAAATATCTTTTTTTTAAATTAGGAAAAAAAAGCTCAGTTGATTTTTTTTTTAAACAATAGAAATTCGTAAATAACTTTGCACCGTTTTTTGCATTTATGGGTCTATTTATATATGTTTTTGTGGTAATTATTATACCACTTGATCAATGTATCATCTGGCCATTAAATAGTCTATTTTATTAAATATTGCATCATTGATCATGAATACAGATAGGTTGCTTAGGCACTTCGTATCCAGTGCTAATTCTCCGAACGAATGTTGTTTGACGAAATGTTACCACAGTTGTAAAATTATTACGCCAAATTCGTTACCATTAAGTCGAAATGATGCGAGTAAAATTGCTTTAAAGGCGAATAAAATATAAAAGCTCACAAAAAAAACTTATAAATATATTTCCGAGGTCTTTTTTTCTTGTATATCCTAATCTCTCCTTTGTTTCATGAGTAATTCCCAAAAAGTTAAGTTTTTCTTTTGCTGAGTATAAATTCAGTTCTCGCACACTAATTCACTACTAAATTCAAACATTTCTTGCATTAATATTGATAACGTGATACTAATACATGATAAAATCATTAATTAGGGGTTCAGTACTTTATGTTCAAGGATCAATTAATTTTAGTGTATCAAATTAAATTTTACGCAAAAGCCTTTTATAATTGATTGATCAAGTTACTTTGCATCTTATCTTTTATCCTTATTGTGGTGAAACGCTTGAAAAAGCATAACTTCAGGTCCTCACTGAGGAAAATAATACATTCTAATAAAATAAACTCTAATATAATCATTATTTTTAAATAAAAATATTGTTTTATTTTCTTTGTTTAAAGCGCTTTGATAAAAGAAACAAGCGTAGTTAGTGCCTTGATAAAAGGCAACAGTTGTGGAGCATTAAGTAAAAAGCCATATTTATTTGCTTTAGTAGCAAGCAAAGTAAGGTTAGGACTAACGTTGGTTAACTAGCGAGTGTTAACAATGTTTGGTAACGTAATTTGCTTTAGTGAGTAAGCAAAGGTTAGGATAACATTGGTTAATTAGTGGGTGTTAATGAAGTATCGTCCAAAGGTTAATAGGAATGTTATTGTAATCGTAAATGTAAGGCTGTTAAACAAACTACTCAAGTTGTCTTGCAAGTAAACCAAAGCGAGTTTGCAATCGGCCAATAAATGTAAACAAGGACAAAAGACTGAAACAAATCGATCACAAGTGAATAAATAAAAGGAACTTTATAGTATTGCAAAAAGGTCATATTTGTTTATTTACAGTTATCAGGTGCTATTAAGTGTGCTCACAAATTCGTCTAGGTGCAAGAAAGAGGGAACCAAATTCGTAAACTTAATTAATTGACAAGCACCGAATTATCTGCAATTCATTGACAAGGGTAGCACAAAAGTTAAGTCATAATTGTTAATTAGCCGAAATGATACTTTGCAATATCACCATTTAACAAGAATCAAAAAGTTTATTTCAAAATATTGTTGCAAGATAAGAAATAAAATAAGGATGAAAAAAATAGATAAAGAATAAATTTATAGTGATAGTAATTTCCAATTAGTTAATAATGAAATTTTATTTACCTTTGTTAACATTTAGAAAAAAGAGTCATAATCAAGATTATTTAATGAACTATTACTTGTATAAATTTTCAAGCTTTTAGATTTAGCAATCTCTTCATCTAATATTCTACTTGTATGATATGCATCTGGATGTGGTTTGTGTGCTTGTTGCGAATCATTATTACTACTAGCAGTATGATTACCATCATTATTATTTTTAATAATTTCTTCAAGTTTATTTTCAGCAAATGTCCAAAGCTCTCTAATAGTTGGTCTTTTTGATGGATCCACATCCCAACACCTCTGCACCATTTGCACATAATTATCAGGCATTCCAGGTAGTATTGGTGGTCGTAAGCCTTCACATATATCAAAAATCAAACAATGATTGTGAGCTCTATTATCAAATGGTGGATGACCTGCAAGTATTTCCCTAGATATCAGTTTCTTTGACCTTTTTTGTATTAATTTTGCCTCTAAGTAGCTCGGGTGCAACATATGATACAATTCCATAGACTTTATTTGATGACTCATCATCAACTGGACCACATAATTCCAAATCTGTAATATAACAATTACCTTCTTCCACAAGTATATTACCACTATGTAAATCACAATGGATTAAATCTTTTTCATGTATATCATTTAATGCATAACATAAATAAAAAATTGTAATTCTGTCTTTTAATGTTAATTGCCAATCCGCGAATTAATGAGAGAATTTATTGATGATCGACAGGGCAAAAATGGTAAAAAATCGTCAGTTGACAATGTTTAACAGATAATAAGGCACGATGTTTTGGTATTACAAACTTTATTCTTTTTATGTATGTATAAAGTAAATTCATAGATTATTGTATCAAAATATTAAAGGGCTTGGAATGTTTCTTAAAAATGTTTATATGTAGGAATCTGAGTTCATAACATATAAAATTTGAATTTTTTAATTTTCGGCCAACACTATCAAGTATTCAACCAAATGAATCACATGTTGTTATAAGTCAAGTCAATAAAATAACTGCAAAAGAATTTTAAAGTAGTATTCAACGATCTTGAAAGAATTCTAAGGCTATTCTTTATACTTTTTGTGTATACATGAGAGTTAACATCTGAGGATGGTGTGATTTAGAATTTTCTTATTTTATTAATACAGTGCGGATTATCTATACTCAAAAGTCAAAATTTTTGAAATATTATGTGATCCACACATTGGATTTTAAAAACCCTGCCACCATTCAATTCAGCTTTAAAAAGGGAGTCTATTAATCTAAAAAAAAAACTAGTCTCAAATTTTCTTTTCATAGATTTTTTAAATTTGAAAGTTATGCTCAGAAGTGCAACTATAATTTTCGTGTTACAATATTTTGAATCTCACGACCAAATTTGGTAATGATTTTCTTTCAATGTAATATGTTCGTTAAACTTTTTTGTTGTAAAGAACTTTTATTTATTAATAAAAAAAAGGAAATAAATAAGTCA